ACAAATTATGTGTAGAAGGAATATACCTCAGTGTAATAAACGCTGCATATGACAAACCAATAGCTAATATAATATTCAACAATAAAAGATTGAAAGCTTTTCTTCTAAGATCAGGAACAAGACAAGGGTGTGCCCTTTATCACCACTGTTACTTAACATAGTCCTGGGAGTCCTACCCAGAAAACTTAGGCAAGAAAAAGAAATTAAAAGTATCCAAATTGGAAAGAAAGATGTAAAATTGTCTCTGTTTGCAGATGACATTATGTTAGATATAGAAAACTTAAAGATTCCAATAAAAAAACTGAGAACTAAAAAAACAAATTCAGTAAAATTGCTGAATACAAAGTCAACATACAAAAATCAATGCCATTTCTATTGGGTTGTCGGAAAAGTCATGACGCATTTTCGCAACGAAAAACATAGAAAAAATATGTCATGACTTTTCTGACAACCCAATATATACTATCAATGAACTATCTGAAAGAGAAATAAAGAATGCGGTCACATTTAGAGTAACATCAAAAAAATAAAATTCTTGGGAATAATCAAACCAAGGAGGTGAATATCATTACATTGAAAATTATAAGACATTGATGAAAGAAACTGAAGATGACACAAATAAATGGAAAGATATTTGTGTCCATGGATCAGGAGAATTAATATTGTTAAAATGTCCATACTACCAAAAGCCATCTATAGATTCAATGGACTCCCTATCAAAATTCCAATGAAACTTTTCACAGAAATATGCATATACAATAGTTAACAATAATGTATTGTACATGTTAAAGTTGTTAAGAGTATAGATATTAAATGTTCTCATCACACACACACATACACGTTAAATATGTGAGGTAATGGATGTGTTAACTAACCTTATTGTGAACAATCAATTCACAATATAAACCTGTGATCAAATCATCCTGTGGTACACCTCAAGACTACACAATATTATGTCAATAATATCTCAATAAAAATAGAAAAACGAAAGGAAAAAACTGGTCTTAATGAATAGAAAATTACAAAACAAAAATGGAGAGCATAAAACACATGAACACAATTTGTAATGGCTGCATGATATTTGATGTAATAAAGGACCTATTTTTTTTTAACCATTTCTCTGTTATTCTTCCTTTCCTTTGAAGAATTCTCTCTGATCCATGCCTGGATGTGACTAAGAGAAAAAAGCAAGACCTTTCTCTAGCAAGGTCCCTCATTCAACTGTACACATACTGAGATCTGGACAGGGTCAATCTCACACAAAGAGATGAAAACTATTATCCATATATTACATGGGTAGGGAGAGGGAAGCATATTGGGTTGTTGGAAAAGTCATGAAGCATTTTTGCAATGAAAAACAGAAAAAACACATCATGACTTTTCCGACAACCCAATACATTGTAATGAGAGGATCTTTCACTATTGGTAAAAACAGGCTATTTCTTGTTTATACTATTATAACAGTCATCATCAAATAAAGTTCCAACTTCTATATTTAAAATAGTAGAACAATATAAAAATGTTCAACTGTCCCATAATTGGTACTTTATCCCAATTAGATGCATTTTCAAATCCTATAACAGAAAATACTGAGTTAAATAAAAAATACACTAGATGGACTAAATTAAAGATTCCAGAAGAATCTTAAAGATATTAATAAGAAACTACCAAAGTCAAACAAACAAAGGGAAAAAAAGTTTGTAGAAAAATTTAGAGACTGTAAGAATTGTGAAACAATAACAAATGGTCCAAAACACATGTAACTGAAATCCCAGAACGAAAAACACAGGAAATATTTAATGGCTGAAAACTTCTGGAAATTGGTGGAAAATATTAGTTCACAGATCCAACAAGAACAACAAATTTGCAAGATAATCATAAAGAAAATCAGTCCCAGACACATCAATTTGCTAAGACAGAATTACAAAGACAAAATCTTGAAATCAGGCAGAGAAAGGCAACATGTTATATCAAGTGAGTAACATCTGATCTGACATCAGAAACTTATATAAATATTGGAGTGGCATAATCAAACAGCTAAAAGGAAAAGATTATCAACTAGAAGTCCACATACAGGAAAGATATACTTCAAGAATAAAGGTGACGAAAGATGTGTTTAAATTAATTAAAAAACAAACAAACAAGAAAACTTAGGGGATTCACCAGTGGCACATCTGTACTACAAAAAAAAATGTAGAATTCTTCAGGCTGAAGGAATTTATTTAAATGTCAACTCAGATCTGTAACAAATGATGAGAATGGAAAATAGTAAATATGTGGCTAAATGTAAAAGATTTTATATACTTCTTTTTATTTATACTTCTTTTTATTCCTTTAAAAGACATATTACTTTTTAAAGGGAAAGCTGTAACACTGCAATGTGACGTTAATAGCATGTACAGCTTTAATACATATGATCACAATAACACTAAACAGTAAATACCTGATGTACTTGGTGGTGGGGTGGGGGGAGCACATGAAGACACAAAGAAAAAAACGCCATGTGAACATGAAGTCCATGAAAAAAACTGCTGACTGAGAGCTCTATATTTAGTACTTTAAAACTCTTGTGCCATTTCCTCTCAGTCTCCATGTTTTCTAATGAAAATTCTGCTCTCTTTCAAATCATTGCTCTCCTATGGTAATAGATCTGGCTGCTTTTAGATTTATATTATGTCTTAAGAATTTAGCAGTTCATACATGCATTTCTTTGGGTTTGCCCTGTTTGGAGTTTGCTCGGCTTCTTGAATCTGTAGATTTACGTATTTCAGTAAATTTCAGATGTTTTCAGTAAATTTCAGATGTTTTCAGTAAATTTCAGATGTAATTATAGAGAAAGCCCATTTGTAGTAGCAACAAAGAAGATTACACTTAGGAACAAATCTAGCAAGAAATAATATGAAGCCTCTAGAAGAAAAATGTTAAAACACTCAGGAAAGACACAAAAGTAGCATTGAAAAAATGTAAAGACACTCCCTATTCTTAGACTGATTCAACATTCTAAAGATGCAGTTTTTCTAAATTTATGAATTCATGCAATCTCAATAAAAATGCCAACAAGCTATTTTATGGAGCTGCAAAATTTAATACTAACGTTCACATGGAAAAATAAACATAGAATAATAGCCAGGAGCAGACTCAGAAAGAAAAATTACAAGGTGAGGCTAGTTATAACAATCTTTAAAATATACCATAAAACCTATATTTTAAAATGTCATATTAGCACATGCAGAGATAAACTAACCATTGGTATAGACTACAAATCAGAAATATACCCCAATGCATATGCTAAGTAGTATATGACAAAGGAAGCCTCTCAAATCATTAGGGAAAGTACCGACTTTTTAATAAATGGTGATAATATAACTGAGTAGTCATTTGGGAAAAGATTAGATCCATGTCTCACACAATAACAAGAATAATCTACAAACGGATTAGGGATGTAAATGTTAAAACCAAAACTCATATAAGCACCAGAAAGCAACATGGATGAATTCCTCTTTAATCTTGGTATAAGGAAAAGTCTAACTCTGATTTAAAATCCAAAGGCAATAAATTATTGATTCATTTGACTATGTTAAAATAAAAATACTTGTATGCCCAAAATAACTCATAAAAACAAGTCCAAAGGTAACTGACACACTGCAAGAACAGGTTATTAATAAATACCACAAACAAAGGGCTGATATCCCTGATATACCTCAGACATAGGAACAAAAATCTGATAGAAAAATGGGGAAAGGACGTAACAGAGTTCCTAATGGCCAGCGTTGGTACAACTTGAGCATAAAAATAAATAATGATATTACTGCATAATGATCCTAAAAATAAAATTTAAATATACTTTAGTCCATACATATATACATTAAAAATTGAATAAAAAAATGGTGATAAAGTATATCTATTCCTTTCAGGATGATTGGAATTAAAAAATATAAAAGGAAAGAGGGAAACAGAAGACCACTGTGTCAGACAAAATACACTGATGAATGTTAAAATTTACAGGCATAAATTGTCAGAGAAAAGGAATATTTGCATAGTCACAAAATATCTCTCCCAAGATATTTATTAAAAACAAAAAGGAAAAACACCAACTTTATTGTAGTGGAAAAATTCAGCATGTACCACCTTACCTAAGTTATCAAAGTTAAGATCACAAATAAGACATCAACAACATGAACCCGCTGATATAATACACTTAGAAAAAGACCTGTCACTTCAGTGGCATTCTTGCCAAAGAAGCATAGTCACATTCTAATCATAAGAAAACATCAGGCCAATTGAAAAAGAAGAACGTTCTACAAAATAACTGCCTGGTACTTTTCAAAAGTGACGAGGTTGTGAAAGACATGGAAAGACTGATATCAGACAAGGTGACAAAGACATGATAACCAATTTCAGCGTTTTATCCTGGATTGGCTCCTGGAGCAGAAAAGGACCATTAATGGGAAAACTGATGAAATTCAAATAAGGTTGATGATTTTATTAACAGGATTGTACCAATGTTACTTCCTGGTTTTCATAATTGCTCTACGGTTATATCAGATGTTAACAGGGGAAGCGAAGGGTATCTCGGAATTCTCTGTACTATTTGTGCAATATTTCTATAAGTTTAAAATTCAAACTAAAAAAGGTTTCAAGAGAGTTCTGGAAAAACTATACTTACACAGTGATAGAAAGCAGGTAGAAAACCTGTCACCAGGGGTCAAAGAGTGGGTGAAAAAACTGATTTATACAGGCGGCAGAAGGGAACTTTTTGGATGATGAAAATCTGTATCAAGATTGTGTTGATAGTCACATGACAATAAATTGTCTAAACTCATTGAATTATGCACTTAAACCAGTGAAACTCTGTTATATGTAAACTATACCTCAATAAAGCTGACAAAAAGAATTCTAAATGTAAATACAATATTTTTAAAAAATGTGTTGGGTTGCAATCCCAACATAAGCAGAACGCAGACGATACACATATCAAATGAAATTATATATGCTCTTACCAAATTAATTAACTGAGTGTGTACCACATCTTCTACCAAAACTGCTGTTTCATGAAGGGGCCTTCTAGCATCACCTAAAGAAAACCTGCAAAAAGAAAAAAAAAAAATTTAATCACACCAATATTAAGGGCTGTAAAAGTGAGAAAGGAAAAGGTGAAAAATAACGTATTATATTAATGTGTTTAATGGAGTACAGATTGTTCTCTCAAATAACAGAGTGGATGTACAATTTTCTGTGGACAAAGAACTGCATCTCTCCTACACAAGCTGAAACTTCCAAAAAAAATGCAGTGTTATTTATGCTACGTCTTGATTTGTGTAGTCATTTTTAAAGACATGTACTGTTTCAAAATGCAAAACATTAACCACTTCATAATACTGGCAACAAGAAAAGCATGTTACCATATCCATATTGTCAATACAGTAATAGAACAGTCAAATAGAAAATTACAGTAGCCTACAATTAAAATAAAAGTTGCTAAGAAAAATTTATGTAAATACTATCAATTATCATTGCCAATTATATGCAAACAGATGATCAAGAATGGAATACAAAACTGTTCTTAAAAGTCATATTCTCAACTTTTATATGGTAGACTAGATGTACAGAAAATCACTTCCTGGTAAAGAACATTTGAAAATGTATAATACTATATTGAAAACATATTTAAAGCATGCTTTAACTAGCAGTAGGCAAGACAAAACAGAAGTCAGATAAAATGTGAAAATACCATTGCCTCAGGTCAAGAAAGCCCTGCAGCCAAAATGTATTCATAGCAGCCTATAGCCTGGATTTCAACTAGCATAGTATTCAAGGTGTAGGAAAGAATGCTGGGACCCAAAGCAAGGTAGGTCAGTATGAGGAACCTAATACAAAGTCGAGAAAAGTAACACCCAGATGGTGATAACTTCAGTGTATGAATTAGGAAAATACATATTCCACAGAAAGCACCCTGCCTCTCTCTCTCCCAAGGCTGTCAGTGAAGAGAAAAAATGTGGAACTACCATGAGAGGATAGACAAATAGACAAATGGAATAGAGCAGAGAGCTGAAAAATAAATCCTTACATATATAGTCAACTTACATCCCATAAGGGTGGTAAGAACACCTCATTTGGAAAGGACAGTCTTTTCAATAATTCATTTTGGGGAATGAATTCAAAATAGATCAAAGACCTAAATTAAAGGGCCAAAACTATAACAATCTTAGAATAAAACAGAGGGGAAAGTCTTCTTGACCTTGGATTTGGCAATGGTTTCTTAAGTATGACACCAAAAGCACAGGCAACAAAAGAAAAAATAAACTGGACTTCATCAAAACTAAAACTTTTTATACACTGATTACTAGTAAGAGAGTGAGAATCTTCTGTTGTGTTCACTGATGAATTTTATTCAGTATTTATTTCTTTGGACTGCCTGGACAGCTTTCCCTCCATTATTTTAAGTTACTCCAAATCTCACTATAGAAAAAGTACCAAGTTATAATAACAAAGCAAAATAAATGACTAAAAGATAAAGAAACAATTCAATTCATAGCTCTAGTAAAAACAATATTTTAAAAACACATGTTAATAAAATATACAATTATTATCAAGCATTCCCTCAAGCTTTAATGAGAACTTAAAACTCTTTTACTAAAAGTAATCATTAGAAGAAATATGTCTAAAACCATCTAAAGACATATAACTAGGGATGGGATTTGGTGAGTGTATTATTTTAATTTTCAGCGTTGTTCATACTTCAGCTTTAATTCCACTTTTTCTCATAGTAGTTCTGCCAATATCCTCCCCCCCACATACAAAGCTAGATATTTGTCCTAGTGGTTTTGGGAAAATAGAAATGAAAACCACCACACCTACCCAGTCACTTCCTTTTAGTTCTGCAATGTATATAATATTTTTAAGTCACTTTAAAGACAAAATCCAAGTAATTGATACTTGCACAAATTGTCCGATTTTTTTCCCCGCTTAAAGCCCTACTTTACCACTCATTGATGCCTTGACTGACTTGTCCTAGGTCTAGTCCCAACCAATAGTCTGACGCTCAATTTCTACATACCGTCTAGATGCCTGTAACACCACCAATATGGCTAGAACAGCCTCCACTAAGTCTTTCAGGAAAATTTCCTTAAAAGGCTGTGCCTTCCCTGGTCTCCTGCAGTAGTTTCCTGCTGTTAACACACAAGCCTCCATTTTAGGAAGGGCTGTAACTTTGATACTGAGGTCATGAGAAATAAGTGTAGAGCAGTCCTGCTGGACTCCACTTAACAATGACAATGGCAGAGCCACTTGTACCCTACCTTTGACCTAAACAAGGTGCTTTTATTCAACCCCAGGATCCAATATCTCCTTGAGCACGAGGCAGCTAACTGCCATCCCCCTGTCAAGTGCATAACGAAAGTATGAAATAAGCAAGATTATTCGTGAGGTGAAGTTCCACTCCCCCTTCTGTCACGTACACTCAGATATAGGAGGATGTATGTTGAAGAACACTATGAGATACTTTTCCAAAAACCCTACGGAATTTATGACTAAGCCTTTCAGTAGTTTTGTTATGTGTATGTCCAACAAGTCTAAGATTGGGGGGTATCCTTTAAATAAACATCTATTAAAGTAAAAATATCTACTAACAGAGAGTGCAGAATAAAACAGAAAAAAGAACTAGTTACAGAGACATGTCCAATACATGGAAAACACATTTTAAAAAATATACACTGAGTATTACCATAGGCGCTGTGTTCTCAAAAAACAATGCTTTATTTAAGTAGTTTCTATCACCAGCTTTAAAAAGTTGTTTTTAAAAAGGAAGGAAGGTGCTGGAAATTTGCTATCTTACTCTATGCTGAACATCGATTTGACATATTTGGTTAGTGATTTTTGCCAAGATGCTTCCCAAGTATGGTGACAGACATTTAAAGTTTCTGTAAATTCTAACGCATTATTCATTTACCAAAATCTTTTGCTAACCCCCAAGCCCTATGTAAATTTATATATGTATCCATTGGCCTATACTCCTCACATAAATTTAACCCCAACTATGAAAGGCAATCAATCCTAAACTCTTTTAACAGCTTTAACTGTAAAAAAAAAAAAAAAAAAAAATCAAAAAAAAAATCTCTATGAGCAAGCACATGCAATATGTATATATTATGTATATATTTCTTTCTTTTTACATT